GGACACCCTTTTAGCTCAGTAATGAAGTTACCTCCGAGGTTCACCCTTCAGCCAGAGGTTAGACAGGTCCATAAAACAAAACAAGACTAAATGGCCACACCAACTCAGGGGCAAGGACAAGAAGGCAGGAGGGGACAGGAAAACTGGTAACGGGGAACCCAAGTTCAAGAAGAGAGGAGTGTTGACATGTCGTGGGGTTGGCAACCAATGTCACAAAACTATACGCGTATTGTTTAATGAGAAACTAGTTTGCTCTGTAAACCTTCATCTAAAATACAAGAAAAATAAGTAAATAAAAAGAGTTCTCATGATTACAGAGTTTGTGGCGTCAATTACCTGTTGCCCGAAAGAAAATACAGTTCCTATTATTTCACATTTTTCTGAAAAGCTATAATATTTGTAAATAGGGGATGATAGTTTAATTGGAGCCAGTCTCATAAAATGCACCTCTGCTAAGTCGGCAATGGCTGGCAATGGTTTCAAGCTGCAGTTAACAGGGAACAGATTCCTTCCCTTCTCTAAAGAGAGTTTGAATCAGCTGCCTCCTATTTACCCCCAATATCAGCATCTTTACTGAGAACTTCATGAAGTCTTGTCCAGACTACTGTACTACGCTCCCAGCTGGGGTGCCAGCTCTGTTCTTTCCACTTCACAATCACTCCGATACAGCATCGACGGAGCAATGTTCCCACATTTCAGCAAAGTGCATGCCACTGTCCGTCGAAAATCTTCACCAAAAAAAAAAAAAAAAAAAAACCATTGCCATCGACTTGATTCTGCCCTATAGGGTTTCCAAGGAGCAGCTGGTGGATTGGAACTGCTGACCTTTTGGTTAGCAGCCGAGCTCTTAACCACAGCACCACTAGGGCTCCCAAAAGCCTGCAACAGGGTGGGCCTACCTTTTCAAGTTCCTAGACTTCCCTTCACCAAATGTTCTCTATACTTCCCGTATCTGTGACTCTGTTTATATGTTTCCTCCTCCTGGAATACCTTATTCCATAAAAAACTTACCCATTCTTCAAGACCTACTTATAGTAAATGCCAATTCTCGTTTAAAGTATTTACCGATTCTTCTAGCAAGAAGCTGAACTCATATAATACCTTTCTCTTGAATGGTAGCTACTTAACACCTTCTGCCGTATATTCTGGTCTCTTCACACACGTTCTCTCTGCCCCTGACTACGCAGTTCCTGGGGATCCGATGCATGCCCTACTTATCTTTGTAGCTCTCAGAGATTAAAAAAAAAAAAAAGGAAATCTCCATAGCTGCTGAAGAAGTTAGTGAGTGAATACTACATTTCAGTATTAAACTATGGGTCGAAAAGCTCAGAAACTGCCAAAGTTTAAGAGTTCTTTGTAAATCTTATTTATTATTCATTTTGGGCAAATTGCTTAAGCTCTGTGATTCAGTTTTCTCTTATGGATTTATTTTTGGAGTAAGGGATTCTAGTAAATTTTTCTACTCACTTGATGGCTGTAAAGCGCTATGTGATATAAATGTTAGAGAAGAGGGAAACCTTTGACTTAGTGGATCGCGGTAAACATTGTCATAAGATAAATGTGTTCCAGATTTGACTACTGTATTGCTAAGAAAATTCTATATGTGAAATTCAGAATGTGCAAAAGTGATATAATTTGCATTTAAGAGTCTAAAGATTCAGCACAATAACAGTGGCTTCAGAATTTATTATTATACAGTGTTTATATTCTCAAGAGGAGAAGTCAGATTTCTTAAGATACCATAGACACCACCTTGGGAATGCCACCATAATTGTCTGTCATGGTTTGGGGACCACTAAAGGTGTCCTGTGCAAGATACAGGCTACAATGTTTTCTTAAAATATGAAAATGTCCAATAAGCCATAATCCTTAGAAGATTTGTGAACTTTGGACACATTCCAGATTGATTTCCTATGCTCTATAACCACTGGGAATTTTCAGCTGCAGAGCATTAACCCATTTAGGATACTAGGGTGATCTATCAGTGCAGTATTTTAATAGCCATAAGAATTTTAAAAGACAAAGCTTGAGAAAATTTGTTCCATAATCAGAGAAACTAACTATAATGGATTTGTAATATTAGCAAACATTTAGACTAATGGAACATTAAAAGATCTTAGTCTTACATAATATTAAATATTAATGTCTCTTCTGTCAGTTCCATTGCCAGAAAATAGAACTTTTAAGTAGTTCTGACCAACTATAAATACAGTGATTTAATCTGATTAGATTTTTAAAAACTGCTTGAAAAGTCTATGCTAGCTATAAAAGAATTTTCCCATCTTTGTCCACAAATACCAGTTTAAGAAGAAAAACAGAGAGGGTTATAACTCTCTAAAGAATACTTTCTATGACGTTCTTTTCTCTTGACACATAAATCCTTCCGCTGAGGTCACAGGAAGAGTATATTTATAGAGAAATTAAAACTATTAGACTCGATATCTATTATATGCATTTGAAATCTTTATTTTGCCGTAGTATTCACCACTCTGTTAACCTTCCTGATACTGTTTCATGCCAGGAGTTCATTCATCGGTGAGAAAATCGAGGAAAGTTCGAATCAAGGAAATCATGTAACCGCTATGTTACATACTCTAATGCTGTTCTCTTCTCTTTACATGTCTTTCTTCAAAATATATAAACACGCAGCTTAGTCTGCACCATTCAAATGGTCTAGGCTGAAACAAATGTAAATATTGTCTCTCTGTTTATCCACAGAATTACTTCTCTGGCATAGTTGTGGAGTATAACACAGTCTCACTGCCGATCACGATTCTGTTTTCAGAGTGATTAATTACAGAATTACTCCTTGGAAAGCAAGGGCGTAACAACAAACTCAGAAACCATGCTTTGCCCTGATAGTCTTTACATCCATTTTTGAAAAGCTTATGTGTGACTTTCTTTACCAATTTAAATATGCTCATAATTTGGGAAAAATCAAGAAAGCTATTCTATCCCCATGGTTCCTGAACCGAGTGCTGGAAGTTCAAGACTGGAAAAAGCATGTGTAACCTGATAACAAAACCTGTCGCCCCAAATACCCTCCGACGCGCTCACTAGTACTTGCCATTTACCTTATGCCATGAGACTTATAATTGAAACAGGCAAACAACAGATCAGAGACGATGAGGTCTAGTGCAGTAGTTCCCAAAGTTGGCATGGGTACTGCTGGCATTATACAAGATGGTTTTAGGGTGTGCACCAATGAACAGTTCTTATTTTAATAGATATTCATTTTTAAAGTGCACTAGAAAAAATATAACTAGCAAATAAAACTCATTACTACTTTAACAGTTATTATTCTTTGGGTACATTGATGTAGTAGCTGCAACAATGAACTGAAACTTACCAACGATCGTGAAGATAGCACAGGACTGGGCGACATTTTGTTCTGTTATACCTAAGCTCACCATGAGTCAGAGATGACTCCGTGGCAACTCACAACAACAACAAACAATTCTTTGGGTCAAGTTTCCTTTTTATATAAATTTAAAGAAAAATATTCAGTAAATATATTGTGGGTGCTATTGACAAAAATCGCAATGGAGGCGTGGGATGCCCCGGTGAGTGGATGAGTGAGATGTAAAGGATACAGGTTCTGGTTGCATATTTGCCCCTGACTCGCTGCATGACCTCAGCTATGTCGCTGTCTCTTTGGGCATCTCTCCTTATCTACAAGAAGAAGGTTGAGGTGACCACAAAAGTCTACCCAGTGCTGTCACTATTCTATGACGTTGTGCTCTTGCCAAATGCCATTACAAGGAACATCAATCTCTGCAAAATGAAAGCAAGCATTCCAAAGTTATGCACAAGACGGGATCACTTAAACTAGTCAGGAAATCAGTGGACTTGTGCGGTAATTTTTTGAGTTAAAACCCTCTACTGGTAGATTAGACTGAGCCCTTGAAATATTGGAGATAAACTTGATTTTGCTTAATAACTTAATTTTTTTCCAAGTACTTTTGGATTCTCTCATTAATAAGCTAGCCAAATAGCAGAGAGTTTTGTGTGCCATGTTTTATGTGTTTCTATCATTTTGGTCTGGGACTAGGAAGGCTGGATGTCCATGATACAGTCAGATGGAGGATTAAGTAATGTCTGTCTTAAAACAAAAATACGCTTCTATCGGACGGAGAAAAAAAATAATCAAACACTAGCTTAAGGTAAAGACTTGGGTTTTAAGAAACGGGAGGAACCTGAAGCTTTTAGCTACAAAACAGCTGATCTGATTTCTGGCTTTACTTTGTCACTCTGAAAATCGAATCCATGTTAACCAGTTGCCTAGTTTCAAGGGTAATAAAATTTGAATCTCAAATTAGCTCTCTGTGCCTTTATTAAATTGTCTTGATTTAGTTCTCTTTCTATCAGCTGCAGAATACAAGTTCAAATCAAAGCCTACCTCCTAGTACCAAAAAACATTCCAAGCAGAAAATCTATACCAAGTGATATTGTCATGGCCAAGCTCTCCATTTTCTAAAATAATCTTGTAGTATGAAAAGCAAACTACGTTTCCTTGAATTAGTGTTACTGTCCCTTTTTCTAGTCTAGAAGGTCCCCACCCTCTGAAAACATAGGGAAGGTTGTCTTCCTGAAGGCCATCTATCATTACTTCCGACCTAGCCTAAAAAGTTAATTAGATCGTGAGGTGAAAAAAAAAAGAAGCTTTTGATGATAACGATGAACTCTCTGAATATTTGAACAAAGCATTTTGGAAATTATCTAATTAAGGACTAAAGTACTTTCTTTTTTTATTTGGAATACTTACTATATCTATTTAATCTATTCAGCAAAACAATGAATGAACAAACACCAACAAAACCAATACAATCTTCTTTTTTTTTTTTTTTTGTAGAAATACACCTGCTTGAAATGTGCAAGAAAATGAAAAAGACCCTATGGGTGAGAATTTTTAGCTGTGATCTCTAAAAGGACATATTTATACAGCACATCTAAACATATACAATACAGAAGACACAGACAATGTACAATTGGCCTCTAGGCTACCAACAACTTGATTCTCTGTTGCAATTTCAAAGGCCCCTTAGAAAATGTGACTTCATAATTTCCTAGTTTTTTACATTTTTCTTCCTCTTGGCGTTGTTAAAAATACCTATAGGCATGCATTTTAACCCCCATTCTTGATCTGTGACAGTAATTCCATCTTCATCCTCCTCAGTTACAGGGAGTCTATGGTACTCCGTGAAAGGCTGTGCACGCCGTGTGGACCTGTCCCTGGCCTCCTGACTTGGGGTCAATCATTGCCGACTCAGCCTCCTCCAAAGAATGGCAGCCTGTCTTTGTCTGGTCTCATTTCCTGAAGATGTGCGACCCCTGGGAGGATTTGGTTGAGGGAAGACAGGCAAACCTGAGCTGCCCATCCTCTTGGGCTTCTCTGGGGAAACGGTGGGTTTTGACACTGGTTGCAGGCTGGGGATTTTGATTCCTTTTTTAGAGTTCGCTCTTGCAAGGCTTTTCTCTCCGTGATTACTGACTGCTGCAGCAGAGAAGGTTAGGTTGCCCTGGCTGAGGGAACACGGTGACAACGGTAAACTTCCACTGAGCTTCCTCAGCTCCAGGAGCTGTTCTCTGGCTTGACTCAAAGCCTCCGTCAGTTCGAAGCGTTCTTCACACTCTCTACGCACTGTCTCCTGAAGAACAGTGTTCTGAAAATAGAAAACAAAATCAAAAAACACTTCGAACAGTGTACCTAAATGAATAGTTATAGGCGATCTAAATTGAGAAGTGAACTGGAAATTAGGGGTCTGTGTTCTTTGACTGCCTCTGCAGACACTCTACCATATGGGACAGACAAGTCAGAAACGCAATTTGTGAAGCTAGAAAGAACTTTAGGCAAGCATGTGGTTCAACCCTTGAAGTTTTCAGAAGAGGAACCAAGAACAAGAGAGACTGAGTGACCTACCTAGGGTCACCCAGTTGGTGGTGGTGGGGCTGAAACCCAGGACTTCTAAAGCCTGCTTCAGTGGGGTTTCAAATGCTCTGTGCCTTGTGTCTCAGACTGTATGTCCTGCACATATGACGTCTAATAGTTAATGTTTGTAGGGTCATTATGTATGTTATTCTATAGTTGCCTCTAAGTCTGAAGATACAGACTGAAATACATAAGACAAACAGGTAAAACTGCTTTAATTTCGAAATTATAGCATTTAAATCATAAAATCAGTTACTTTATATGATGCTTTCTAAAAGGAACTTAAATACTTTGGCAATTTTATTTTGTAAGATAATATTCCAAAGGTAAAGAACATCTGCTTTTAACTCCATTCAGCAATCACTTATCAAGTTACTAAAACTACAGCGCATACAGTTCTTGCCCTCAAGAAGCCTGCAGTCTCGTAAGTTTAAGCAGAGCTTCCTTTTATGTCTCCAGTAGAATCTGAACCCAAGGGCGGAAGCTGTGGGGTTTAACATAGGAAAGAACTTTTTAACAGACCTGTCAGAGGACACCCTAATGGTTCAATCTCACTTGAAAGGGATGTATGAGAGGAAATTTAGGCTTCAAATGTGTGACCGGACTAGAGATCATCAATGCCCCTTTAAATTCTGAGAGTCTACATTTCTAGTTGAGGAGTTACCCATCTCTGATCTATGGAATTCACTCAATATTAATTTAAGGCCCATGGTAAGAAATAGGTCTTGGATTTTCCCAAAATCTTGACACTCATCTCTGCAGGATGTCTTTCTCCAGGGACTGGTCCCTCCTGATAACATGTCCAAAGTATGTGAGACGAAGGCTTACCATCCTTGCCTCTAAGGAGCTGTATTTCTTCCAAGACAGATTATTTGTTCAATCTTCTGACAGTCCATGGTATATTCAATATTCTTCATTAACACCATAATTAAAAGGCATCAATTCTTCTTTGGTCTTCGTATTCATTATCCAGCTTTTGCATGCATATGAGGTGATTAAAAACACCGTGGCTTGGGTCAGGAGCACCTTAGTCCTTAAAGTGACATTTTTGCTTTCTAACACTTTAAAGAGGTCTTTTGCAGCAGAGTTGCCCAATGCAATGGGTCGTTTGATTTCTTGACTGCTGCTTCCAAGTTCATTGATTGTGGATCCAAGTAAAATGAAATCCTTGACAACTTCAATCTTTTCTCCATTTATCATAATGTTGCCTATTGATCCAATTGTGAGGGTTTTTGTTTTCTTTATGTTGAGGTGCAATCCACACTGAAGGTTGTGGTCTTTGATCTTCATCAGAAAGTGCTTCAAGTCCTCTTCACTTTCAGCAAGTAAGGTTGTGTCATCTGCATATTGCAGGTTGTTAATGAGTCTTCCTCCAGTCCTGGTGCCCCATTTTTCTTCATATAGTCCAGCTTCTCAGATTATTTGCTCAGTACACAGAGCGAATAAGTATGGTGAAAGGATACCCTGATGCACACATTTCCTGACTTTAAACCACAGAGTATCTCCTCGTTCTGTTCAAATGACTGCCTCTTGGTCTATGTACAAATTCCTCATGAGCACAACCAAGTGTTTTGGAATTGCCATTCTTCACAACATTATCCATAATTTGTTATGATCCACACCGTCAAATGCCTTTGCACAGTAAATAAAACACTGGTAAACATCTTTCTGGTATTCTCTGCTTTCAGTCAGGATCCATCTGACACCAGCAATGATATCCCTTGTTCCACCTCCTCTTCTGAATACAGCTTGAACTTCTGGAATTTCTCTGTCAGTGTACTGCTGCAACTATTTGTGAATGATCTTCAGCAAAATTTTACTTGTGTGTGATATTAATGATATTGTTTGATAATTTCAGCATTCAGCTGGATCACCTGTCTTTGGAATGGGCACAAATTTCTCGGCATAGAGGAGTGACCACCTCCAGCACTACATCCATTTGTTGAAACATCTCAATTGGTATTCCATCAATTCCTGGAGCCTTGTTTTTTGCCAATGCCTTCAGTGCAGCTTGGACTTCTTCCTTCAGTACCATCGGTTCTTGATCATATGCTACCTCCCCAAAAAGTTGAAGGTCGGCCAATTCTTTTTGGTTCAGTGACTCTGTATTCCTTCCATCTTCTTTTGATGCTTCCTGCATCATTTAATATTTTCCCCATAGAATCCTTCAGTACTACAACTTGAGGCTTGAATTTTTTCTTCAGTTCTTTCTGCTTGAGAAATGCTGAGTGTGTTCTTCCCTTTTGGTTTTCTAACTCCAGGGCTTTGCACATTTCATTATAATACTTTACTTTGTCTTCTTGAGCTGCTCTTTGAAATCTTCTGTTCAGCTGTTTTATGTCATCACTTCTTGCGTTTGCTTTAGCTACTCTACTTTCAAGAGCAAGTTTCGAAGTCTCTTCTGATATCCATTTTGGTCTTTTCTTTCTTTCCTGTCTTTTTAACGACCTCTCGCTTTCTTCATGTATGATATCCTTGATGTCTTTCCACAGTTCATATGGTCTTTGGTTATTAGTGTTCAGTGCCTCAAATCCGTTCTTGAGATGGTCTCTAAATTCAGGTAGAATATACTCAAGTTTGTATTTTGGCTCTCATGGATTTGTTTTAATTTTCTTCAGCTTCAACTTGAACTTGCATATGAGTCGTTGATGGTCTGGGTCTGTTCCGCAGTCGGCCCCTGGCTTTGTTCTGGCTGATGATATTGAGCTTTTCCATCATCTCTTTCTACAGATGTAGTCGATTTGATTCCTGTGCATTCCATCTGGCGAGGTCCATGTGTATAGTTTCTGTTTATGTTGTTGAAGAAAGGTATTTGCGATGAAGAATTCATTGTTCTTGGAAAAATCTACCATGCGATCTCTGGCATTGTTTCCATCACCAAGGCCATATTTTCCAACTACTGATCCTTCTTTGTTTCCAACTTTCGCATTCCAATCACCAGTAATTATCAGTGCATCTTGATAGCATGTTTGATCAATTTCAGACTGTAGAAGTTGGTAAAAATCTTCAATTTCTTCATTTTTAACCTTAGTGTTTGGTGCGTACTTTTGAATAACAGTCACATTAACTGGTCTTCCTTGTAGGTGTATGGATATTTTCCTGTCACTGACAGCACTGTACTTCAGGATAGATCTGGAAATGTTCTTTTTGACAATACATGTGACACTATTCCTCTTCAATCTGTCATTTCTGGTATAGTAGACTATATGATTGTCTGATTCAAAATGGCCAATACCAGTCTATTTCAGCTCACTAATGGCTAGGATAGCAATCTTTATGTGCTCCATTTCATTCTTCATGATTTTCAATTTTCCTAGATTCATACTTCATAATTCCATGTCCTGATTATTAATGGATGTTTGCAGCTGTTCTCATTTTGAGTCACGCCACATCAGAAAATGAAGGTCCTGAAAGCTTGACTCCATCCATGTCATTAAGGTTGACTCTACTTTGAGGAGGCAGCTCTTCCCCAGTCATCTTTTGAGTGCCTTCCAACCCAAGGGGCTCATCTTCCAGCACTATATCAGACAATGTTCCGCTACTATTCATAAGGTTTTCACTGTCCAGTTCTTTCAGAAGCAGAGCATCAGGTCCTTCTTCCTAGTCTTCGTCTGGAAGCTCTGCTGAAACCTGCCCACAGTGGGTGACCCTGCTGGTATTTGAGATACTGGTGGCGTAGCTTCCAGTATCACAGTGACATGCAAGCCATCACAGTATGACAAACTGACAGATGCGTGGTAGCATATATGTGGAGAGAGATTTATTTCAAGGAAACAACTCACACAGTTGTGGAGGATGGCAAGTCCCAAATCCATGGGTCAGGCATCAGGCTGGAGGCTTCTCCTGACTCATGTGGTTGCAGGGGCTGATGAAACCAAATTGGCAGGTCAGATCGCAGGCTGCTGGCTCACAGGGCTGTGAGAGCTGGTGAATTCCAAAATCTGCAGGTCAAACATCAGGCTGCTGACTCATGTCCCAAGAACTGGAGGTTCAAGGATGACGAATTGGATGCAGGATCAAGAGAGGGCAAGCTTTGCCAGAACATCCATATATATTGGATGCAGGCCACACTCCAAAGGAAACTCCCCTTTCAATTGATTGGCTGCTCACATCGGATCACAAAATGGAGGATGATTACATAATACCTGCCAAACCACTGAGAATCGTGGCCTAGCCAACTTGACACATAACCTTAACCATCACAGTTCCTAAAACATTGAAGCAGTACAAAACAGTAAGATATTTCCATCTGATTTTGCCCACATTTTCTAAACTCTATCAACCTAAACTTTCTTTAAAAAAGAAATTAATGCATCGTGTTTCTTGTTTAGACTAAGCTGGCATAATGTGTTGAAGTGATTGTATTTAAGTGGCTTTCAATAAATATAAAAATACTCCTGATTAAGAAAACTATGAGAAAGAGTTCATTTTATTTTAATATGTAAAAGAAGAAATGGTTAGCAGTGAATAATGGGGTCAGTAAATTGATCACCCAAGTAATAGGTGCAACAATATGGGAGGGTGAAATGCCAGATAATGTGATGAGAAAAGCTCTCCTGGAAAGAGAAATAAAATTCTATCCATTTCCAAAACTAAATCCAAGTCTCAAAGGAAAGGAGTATTGCTCTAAAGAAAACATCTGTAAAGCAAATCACTTCAAAGCTATTTCAGGCAAGTGACATTCTGCTAACAGAGAAAATGAAAAGGCAGAGAGAAGCAAAAGCTGTCCCCGCA